ACATGGATTTATGACTTTTGGCCCCCATCTTTTCACCAAAATTTCTCACCAAGACAAAATTATAGTCAAATACTAAAATAACTCCCCAGAGCTAGGAAAAAAAGAACAAACCCAAGAACATCTTCAATACACTAAAAAAACAATAGCCAGAACTCATACCTCAGACTAAAAAATAAAAAAAAACATAAAGGAAACAATTTTAATTTTAAAAGTTTCATTTCAAACCTCGCTCGGAATTTCGCCTACGCACATTTTGCTCGTCAACTGAACCAGCCTCTTAATCTCCTCATCCACCTCCACGTCATCTTTCTTCATCCTCTCCTCCATAACAAGCGCCATTTTACCAGCTTTCGCGTACGTTCTAAGCAAGCACTTGTAAATCTCACCATTCACATATCCCACTCGCCTGAGAATCCCGAGCAGCTCTTCCGCACAATCCACATTCCCAAAATCCTCGACAATTTTAAACACCTCATGCACCAATTTCTCATCCGGGTCCCACTTTCTCACGCTCTTAACAGCTTTCTTGAACGAATCAAGAACTTTTTCAAGATTCCTCTCTTTCAAATAACCCCAAGTGAGAAGCTCCCAAGTGGTATAACTGGGAACAATTTCTCTCTTCACCATCCGTTCGAAAAACTCCTTTGCTTTTTCCATTTGATCACTGTTGATGTAAGCGGCAATTAGCAAATTCGGTATTCTTGAATCGGCAGTGGGTGAAATCGACTCCCACTCATCGTAAAATTTATTCGCCTCTTTAAAGTCTTTGACTTTCAGCAAAGACGATATCACGCAAGTATACTCAGCATCGTTCAATTTTCGGTAAGTCGACTTCATTAACTTCCACAAACGAAGAATCTCGCTCGTATTTTCGAGGCTCGCGTGCAGGCTGATCAAGGAAGAGAAGCCTGCTCGGTTTTTTTTAGTTATCTTTTTCTCCATGTCTTTCAGAGAGGCTTCGGCCTTATCGCGCATCGAGTTTTTTATATAAATGCTTGCCAAAGTGCTGTAAGTCACCCAATCAGGCCCGATTTTCGCGTTAATTTGTTCTCGGAAAACTTTTTCGGCAGTCTCGACACAGTTCTGGGACCCGCACGCGGCCAGCCAGAGATTGTAAGTGACTGTGTCGGGAGAAGTGATATTTTTTTTGAGGTCCTTGATGAGTACGGGAATTTTTTCGAGCTGGCCAGTCGAGAGATATAGAGTCAGCATGTGATTGTATGGTAAGGGGCTCTTCAAGAAGTCGCATTCGGACATTTTGCACATAAGGGCCTCTGCTTTTTCGGGCTCTTTGTGCTGGACATAGGTGTGGAGGAGGGCGGAGCATGTGGCGGGGTCTCTCATATTTTCAGGGAGGTCCTCGAAGAATTTCTCGGCGCTGTTTAGGCCCCGGATTTTCGCGATCAGGTCTAGGTGGACAGCGTAATCCCCCGAGACGAGTTTCATGTCGTTCTGTGTTCTCATCCATTCACAGACCTGCAAGTGCAAGTACAGATCACGAATGATCAAGTTAGCTTGGTAAAACTAACTTTTATCATATTCAGGCTATGTTTGGTAAAACTAGCTGATCGCTGATAAGTAAATTTCGAACTTATAGCTGATTATGACTTATTGCTGAAAAGTTAGCTTATATGATAAAATTGTTTGGTAGAATTAGCTAGCTGAAATAAAAGGCTCAACGAGCTTATTTGAAAAGCTACTCAAGGAAGCTTATGAGATAAGCTCGAACTTTTTTTGTAAAAAAAAAGCTCGTCCTACCAAACCTAGCTTATTTGGATACGTGAAGATTATAATCTAACCAAATAAGCTATAAGTACTTATGGTGCTTATTAAACACACTCATAGTAGAAGGGCTTAGCATACGAGAAAAAAATATCCATGACCATAAAAGAACAGACAAATGAAAGCATGTAGTGAAGAAGATAAACTTATTTTTGTTGCAGCTGGTGAAATGGTGTATTCCAATTAACCAAAACGGTGAAAGGTCAGAAAATTGCACATAATTTAAGTATGCTAGAGGATAATCATCTGCACTGAACCGCTTAAGTTTGACAAAACATATAACAATAAGAACTTAAACAAAGTGCAGATTTAAGCTACATAATTATGCTGACTACATC